CTCCCCCCCCCCCCCCCCCCCCCCCCCCCCCCCCCAAGTCCAGCAGGAGCACCAGTGCAGGAATCTCGCAAACAGGAGCGCGATAAGAACGCAGGCCTCCGATGGGAATGGACTGGCAATGCTTCTTTAAAGAAGCTCGCGGCCGCTGGCTGTTCCTGGAAGAACGGGCCCAGCAGAGGTACTCCTGGCACAGTCCCCATCCGACGAAAGCTGTCCCATTTTTATTTTTTTTCCCATCTTCGTTGTCCACGGGTGGTGTGCAAGGGATTGGTTTGGAAGGGGCACATTATGCAACGGAGGAGTGGTTTAGAAGGGGGAGGGAATCGATGACACCCCCCCCTCACCCCCGTACCAAAACTGCGGGTACCATGGACCCACAATCTTCTACTTGGCCAAGGGGTCAGTGTCCTGACCATCGCTGGCCACCCTCCTACTTGTTGACCCTTTAGATGCCATCACCCCAACCAGCATCTCCAGCACACTATTCCCTTGCCTCATCGCCCCCCCCACAGCCCCGATCTCTGTCACCATATCTCCCATTTTCGTCGCCATGAGCGCAGCACTTTCTGTTGCCGCACGTGCCATGGTCCCAGCAGCCCTGTCCAGGCCATCGCAGAACGACCGCGTGGAATCCTCCATCACCTATGTATCACCCGCGGCCGCGGCTGCAGGGTCACTCGTGGCCCACGGTGGAGTTTGTGACCGTGGCCGTGGACGGAGGCCCCGAAGTCGCAGCCATGATTTCTACGGATTTTTCCCCGGCGAAATAAAACGTAAAAAAAAAAAAAAAAAGAAGAAGAAGTTGTATTAGAACCCTACAACCCCATATTGTTTTTTTTTTCCTAAACTGCATTATTTTGGTATTTAAGAAAATATAAATAAAAAAACTGCAAAAAAAAAAAACATGGCTACGCCGGACCCGGACCCGGACATTTCCGGACACGTCCGGCATTCCGGACATTTCCGGACCTCCGGACATGGGGGGATCCGGACAGTCCGGATGTCTGGACAGGTCCGGAAATGTCCAGACCTTTAAAAAAAAAAAAAAAAATCTGAAAAAAAAGTATGCTATGCAGAATAACAATGCAAACCACTTTTGCCTCAGAGTCATGTCAGAATTCCTAACCAAACTTGAGTTACAAGTCAAAAACTTAAAAAAAGCTTAAAAAAAGACTTAAAAAAAACTTATAAAGGTAATGAATTATTAATAATTAAAAAGTTGGGGTTGTCTAATAAATTATTATAGATAGAGAGCATGTCCGGACCTCCCAAAAAACCATAAACGGGCCTAAAAAACCCCAAAACAATTTTGGGGGCTTGGCTCCTCCGTGGGGAAGGGTCCTGGATCCTTCTTTTTTTTCTTTTTTTTCCTCGAATTTTGGCAGATCCGGACCTTCCAGACCGAACGTCTGGAGTCCGGACTGAATCCGGACCGTCCGGACGTCTGGATCGTAGCCATGAAAAAAACAAAAAGAAGATTTTTTTTTTTTTTTTTGGTTG